GTTGGCAGATAAAATATTAATGATGGTAGTTCTGGAGTATTTACAGGCCTTATGTGAGACCCATTTGCACATCTGACCTTAAAACAAGTGCAGAGATTGAATTCACTTTTACTGCCCAAAGGGAAACCCCATTTTGGTAGGGTTTGGCAAAGGGGCCATTGAGAAGTGATTGCATGTATGTACGTGCATCAAGAGCAATTCTCTGTACTTTCTTTAGCAAAAGGGACATTGTTTCTTGAGGCTAACAAGGATGAAGAGCGATGTGGCTGCTTGCAGCCTTCAGCAGTTGCAGACATTCTTAAATAACTCCCCTGGCTCACCAGTCTTTTCAGCACTGAGCGCTAACAGCTTGCTTCTGTAGCTCCTGTGCACTCTTTCAATGACACCTTTGTCCCATGAAAGCAGTCTCTGACTTGTTTCTTTTTGCTTGCCTCGCCTTAGCCTCATTCACACTTCACAAAACCACCAGATAACTCTGCTGGACAAATCTTGCCTTTCAAGAGGAGTAGGCAAGGGTAAGAAACCCAGCTCAATTTTAGGGCCTGAGCTTTACTGGTGAAATGTAATACTGATGAAATGAACTGTGATAGGGAGGACTCAATTCAGTGACCCATTTCCATGGTCCTAAGTTCAAGGAAAAGCTTGGTTGTCAGAGCAAAGCACAGCATGAAGGGAGGTTAGAATGCACTGGCATGTTTTGTGGGCTCTCCTCCACCTTGCTTGCCAGTTGCATTCAGTTACTCACTTGTCCTCTACCTTTTTCATCTCATTTGCTAAATTATCTTGTGCCTGCATCTCTTCATTCTTTCCCCTTTGATGTTCGTTAGGCCAGTAATTACTTTTAATTCAGTATTTATGAACTGCGGCTGGTATTTATAAACCTTGGTGCCAGCAGTTCCACAGTTGTTCAGAGATGTCCTAGAGAAAGTCAAAGCTGTTGACATAAGGAGGAGTCATGAACTCCGAATGTATAAAAATCCCATACCGCAGTTTGCACACTGTATTGACTGTGAGGAGGAGATATCTAGTAGGCTTTCGGCCAGTCGGTTATTCACATGTCTCGTTTGGGGGAGGAAAATAGCTGTAAAGGCTGTTCTTCTCTGTGGCAACTGCAGCCTTGCTGACGAGAAAACAGGGCAGTATTCACCAGCTAGCAGTGGTGAAGTTCAGCCTCCTGGTTAGTCACCTTGGCTTGCCAGTGCCTCGGCCACCCAAGTCTGCAAGCTGAGGAGAGCTCATGAATGCAAAGGGAGACACAAAAGCATGTATGTGTGGGCCGACATTAAAAAATAAGGGAATAATCCCCAGATAATTCTCTAATTTAATTATCATCTTTAGTTAGGTTCACTGCAAAAATATATCAAAAAATGTCCTTCAATTGCCCGCCTTTGAATTTGCCCACCTTTTGTTCTCACCATGCTCATGTCTCACGGCACCTCATGATGTGTGCAAACACTGGTGTCTGGCGGGGCAAACCATGTCCAGTGGGTTGAATTATGCCTGAGTGCAAAAGCACAACTCCATTGGCAACATCATGGCTGTGTTAGGAATAGACGGAGTAGGATTTACCTTGCCGAGCAGAAAATCGTGACTTTTCATCCTAGCACATTCCTCTGGTAATCTAAAACCAACATCAAATATTATAGGAGTTTCAATAGTATCTTAAGAGCTGTCAATCTGCAATACTAATGAATCAACGTGTCTTACAAGGAACAAAATTATGTAAGATTTTTCATATACATTTATACCATTCTATTCATGTAGATGTATTCATGTTTAAGTGATCAAAATTGATGTATAACTGTATTACAGACTAAATTATGTAACAATGTTCATGATTTCAAGTTAGGCTTGGGTTTAAACATTAAAAATGTTTCTGAGCTAGCTACTTAATACACTGTAGTGCAAGTCAGATTAAGCCACAGTTAACACAAAGTATTGCTTGCATAGGGTTTTTGTTACAATTTTGTTTACAAACACTAGCTTTCACAGAAGCATCATGTATAGCAGCATTTAAATATTGGGCAGGTACAAACGTGTAACTTCTTGTAATGAGATTCACTTTTAAGAAAACTGAAGAAGTAATGAAGTAAGTAACAATAACCTCAAAGTTGCTTTTAAGAAGGAATATTAGGGAACGAGCAGAAGTAGCACTTTTTTTCTGAATAGCTTTTTGGGGCCAAATCAGCTGACTGGGTGGTTCATTTGAATCAAATACTAGATTATCCTTATTGCTCAGGTACACATTGGATACCATCATGTGTAAGTTGTGATTTTAAGAAACACAGTCAGAGTGGTGCTCATTCTACCTAAAACAATTAAATGTTTTGAACAATATCTAAGTTCCTGTGTGTTTGTCTCATGTGGGTCATTGTTCATGGTCAATACTCTTTGCCAAAGGTGTTTTCTTCACCATATGTGAAGAAATAATAGGCAACCCTAATGTAGTCAGTGTTACCGAGGCACCTAAACTGTGTTAGTAGAAAGCAAATAGAAGACATACTCTTCATCTGTAAATTCACTGCGCTTCCAGAAGGAGCTGTTCCATCAGCTTACTGAACGTATTTTAATAGTATTTTCTTTATGAAGTTCTTTAACATAAAAAAAACCATACAGCTGAAGGGTATTTATAATCACTCACTGTTCTTTTCCTCAGAGGTGGCTCACAGCTAGGACATAAATTAAAATTTAAGATCAACTTTCCCTTGAGTCATCAGTCATTTGGGAGTGCTCTCTTTTCAAGAGCCCAGCTATCCATCAGTGCTACTGTTATGGCTGCACAGCTCCTGGAGTATCTACAGTCCTCCCATTTTCCAGTGTGAGTCCATCCCTTTTCTAGAGCTAGTGAACACAGTAACATGAGAAACTTGGCAAAATGGGAAGCTTTACTGTGACTTCTGGTGCTGCTCTTGAGCTGTAGGCTTGCTGAACTGTTCATGATCTCTAAAGGGAGCCTGTGATACCTTGATAGCTGTTACCTAGGGCTGTGGTTAGGCGGAGTTGAGTAAGAATGACAGCTACGTGTCTTGAAAAACATGTTGTAAGACCTAGAAAATGTCCATTTCTGAGTCTGCAATACAGGAGAGCACAAGCTAACAAACTGCAAGAGTTAGCTCTTTAAATAAACATTCTTGGATTCCCGTGTTTCACCTGACCAAACAAAATAAGCACATTTTTAAACAAATCTCCTTTCCTGTCTTTCCCCTTCCCGCGCCTCCCTTGCAGGGCCAGGCAGGTCTCCAGTTTTGCTCTCTACTCCAGCTGCTTTCAGTATCTCTCAGCACTTACTAATCCTATGTGGTATTTCATGAGTAAGGAGGAATGTCTCTTTCTCTGTATCACCTCTCAAGTTTGTCTCTGGGTCTCTCCCATGACACAAGCAACCCCCAGTTCCTCTCAGGACTGCCCCAGGTCACACATACGCTCCATAGTCTCCCCATGCCCATCTCTTGGTTTCCTCCCTCTGCCCTTATGTGGGTTGGGCTTTCTTCCCTTTGGAGGGCAGCAGCCAGGATAAGAGGGAAGACAGGTAGCCTACTTTCCTGCTCCCCTTTCCTTTCCTGTCTTTCTTTGGCACAAAACATCACTCTGGTGCGTTGATCTTGACTGGCTGCCAGATGCTGACCCAGCCACTCTCACACTCCCCCTCCTCAAAAGGACAGGGGAGAAAATGAGGTGGAAATGCTCATGGAGCCGAGATAAAGACAGTGAGATCACTTACCAACTCCCATCACAGGCAAAATGGGCTTATCATGGGGAAAATTAATTTATTGCTAATTAAAAGTAGGTTAGGATGGTGAGAAGAACAGCCCACAACCCCCTATTTTCCTGGGCTCAACTTCGCTCCTTCATTCTCGGTTCCTCTGCCTCCCTCTTCCAGAGCACTGCAGGGAGATGGGGAATGGGGGTTGGGGTCAGTCCATAACAGCTCCTCATTGCCACTTCTTCCTTCTCACACTTTTTCCCTACTTGAGTGCAGGCCCCCATGGGCTGCAGTTCCCATCAGAAAAGCCTGATCCACTGTGGTCTGTCTAGGGTCTGCAGGGGAATCTCTGCTGCACCATGAAGCACCTCCTCCCGCCTTGGTGTCTGCAGGGCTGTTTCTCACTTTCTTCCTCACTGCCTGTGTGGCTTGTTTTTTTTGCCCTTTCTTAAATATGTTTTACCCTGAAGCAGCAACCACCTTGTCTGTGGGGCTCAGCCATGCCCTGCAGTGGGTCAGGTGGAGCCAGTGGGAACTGGCTGTGTCCAGCACTAGGGCAGCCCCAGCCTCTCCTCACAGAGGCCGCTGCCAACACCACTCGCATATGCCATGGGTACTGTAAGCTTTGGATGGACAAAGCAATCCTGCAATTCCTGATCTTCAGGTGTTCATAAGACCCGAGTCTGTGTGACTTTTAAAAACAATCTGACAAAGCCTAGCTGACATCGTCACCTAGAAGTTATTAGTTAGGTGCAGTGGTTTTGCTGTATGTAATTGTGGAGGGAAGGCTTCTTCAGAGCTTGGTACTGGTGTTGAGTTGAGTCAGAAATCAGGACAGCTGGGTTTTTTTTGAGTTGAGTGGGGTGACATGTGTCGCAGCCTGGTATCTCATGATGAACGCTCAGAATCAAACACTGCTCATGAAGTTTTGCTGCAATTTTTGCTCCCGAGTGTCCTGTGTCATGCAAAGCAGATGTAGCCCTTTCCCTTCATTTTCTGAAGATAGTCAGAGTTAGTAACTTGAGAGTAAACTGAGTTTTTGATGGGTATTACATGTGCAGTTTTATTTCAGGTCCAGTGGGTGCATTGGTGTACCCTGTTCACGTGCCTGCAGGCTGCTGGAGATGCTGTGGCACCCTGAGGTGACTTTGCCATTCCGTCACCTCATTTTGGGAAGCTCAGTGCAAGTGGTGCCATCCGACCTGAGCAAGCAGATGTGTTGTGTGCCCTGATGTTGTTCTGGGATGAGATATAATTTCAACACGCTCACATTAATCCATTATATGTCTCTTTCCAGCACAAATGGACCCCCGAGGCCTATCTCCCAGACAAATTAAAAGTGACAGTGATGATGACGACCTGCCAAATGTGACCTTAGATAGCGTTAATGAAACTGGATCTACAGCGCTCTCCATAGCCAGAGCAGTACAAGAGTAAGTATTGTATTCCCAGAGCAAGATGAGTGTTGCCAAGGTGTTCCCAGGCTGAAGGAGGCGCCGGCACTGCAGGGGTGTCCCCCGTCTGCGGGTCAGCATACCTGCCAGCATCTCTTCTGTGTAGCTTTGTTCCCCTTAGGAAGAGATGGCTGTGTCTCTTGTCTCTGATTTTCCTTTCCTTTCTTTCTGTGTGCCCTCGTCATTAGGTAAAGTTTCATATTGAAATCGTTTGTTCCCCTTTATTTACTTGCAAAGCTTTCAGTGTTTTTATATCCTCTCCAAAGGGAGTCCAAGTCAGGCTTTCACTCAAAAAAACATGAATTTTTTTCCTGACTGAAAGCAGCATCAAGGAGTTCATTCTAGTTGCTGTTGATTAGGAAATACCTACATTTCTCCTGAAGGACAGTGTCACTGAAAGGAAATTAGTGAGGGACTTTGAACAGTTTATCCATTGCTGTTATTTTTCTGTGTACTTTTACTCACTGGACAGGCAAGTAAGTTCTTAATTTAATGGCTGCATTGCTTATTTAGAAAAAAAAAGAAACAGTTCATCATGAACATTAGCAATTCTGTAGATGCATGAGCTTGCTCAGTCATTGTAGCAGCTGGAAGGGAACCAACTGTGAGGTAAATAAGTATTAATATCCTTATTTTATAGGTGAGGAAAATGAGGTTATGCGTAAAGGTCACCCTGTAGGTCTGAAGCAGAGCTGGAAATAGAACTAGAGCCTCCAGGCACTGAAGCCTGTGTTAGACCCACAAAGCACATTACTTCATCTGAGAGGTTCAAAATACGGACATTTTGGACGTTATTAAATAAGAAGGGATATAGTAAAGGCCATTAGACATTGTTATTATGTAATTTATTATAAATGCATTTTGAATGTCTACACATGGTATCTAAAAGTAATTAGGTTTTGCTTTGCTTTCCTGGCCATCAGTAGCCAAAAGCACTGATGTTTCCAGGCTGTGTTTGAGGAGGAACTACTTTTTTTGTGTTTCCACCAGACATCTGCTAATTCATCTTCTAGTCAAGCACAGTAACTGTGATCTTCAAACCTGTATATTCCCCTTAAGCAGAGAAGGAGGTCTCTATGGGCAAGGCAGGGCATTGGCTTTCGTTGTAATTAGCATGCTCCCCTTCTGGATAAAGGTGATAAAGGAAGGGAAGGTTTCTTTACTAGTGATGCTATTGCTTGATAGACAGGCCTTACACGTATTTTGAATTCGCTAGTTACAGCACCAGCCCCTGAAGTGCTAAGTATTTTTTTCTCAGTTTATAGCACACGTAATAAGCTAGAAAAGTAAAACAACCCGTTGTGATTTTGCACTAAATAGTTCTGTCTAATTAATGAAAAAAGGAAGCACAGGGCACTAGAAAATGCTTCTACTGCGCAACTGGCAGGCACATACTGTTCTCCGTGATTGACACTGCTTGAACACTTAGAGAATTGTGCAAACTGTGAGAAGCATTTTAGCTTTTCCACAATGCATTCCACAGTTTGTGAAGGTAAATGTCTTGGAATATTACTTGGCTGGCTCTGGAGTTTAAGAATTAAATTAAGCAACTTAATAATATAACATCAACTCGTCCTTGTTATGGGTTTTATTTAAACAGTAATCTGTTAGTTTATTTCAAAAGCCCCATTAGGAAAATCTAATTTGACTGTGATCTGCAATTTGTCTTCTTCTTGACTTCATTCTCAGTCACAGACACCACACATACAGCTGCTGAGCTGAAAAGAGACATTGGCACATTATACTGACTTCACTCAATCCATTTCTTTCTCAGTCTATAATACAGTGCCTTACAGGCAGACACTCTTCTGAATTTATGTATCTAACACATACCTTAATATTAGACATTTAGCAAAGCAGTCCACTGAAAATAAAAGTCCACATTCTACATACCCTTGTTGCAGGGAGGCAAGTGCCTTTGAAGCCTTCCAAAGGGAGATCCTGTGTGCTCAATTTTAGCATCTAAACTTAGCAGACAGGAATTTCCTCTGAGGACGTGGAGAGGTACCTTCTGTTCTGTACTGGGCAGCGTAAGGGCATGCATAGAAAGACTGCTTCAGTGTGCAGTAGAGCGTAAGTCTAAACTAAGTGCTGAAGTGGCTTCAGAGGCTGGACCTCAGAGTGCAGAATACTGTCCCGCAGAGTGTGCTCTTTCTTAAGTGAGCTTGTAAGCTCTTTCTTGTGAATAGTTATACAGTTATAACAAAAATAACTTCTTGCATATGCCGGCTCGGAAATATAGCGTGACACCTCCAAAGGAGTGGCAGCATCATTTCCTTCAGTTGCTGTTGTGCAGTCTTGTCTTTGTTAAACAAAATACCAAGCCTAGTTTGCAGATGCTGGTGGCAGGTGCAAGACAACAGTAGATCTTTTTCTGGTTGTTTTTCAGACATGTTTTAAATTATCCCGCATAAAGTTTATAAATATATAAATGTATGTATATATATTTGCCTATTGCCACCTATTTTCAATGAGCAGAAAAGGATTTCAAATACCCTGTGGGGGACTGCTTTGGTGAGGCTCCTGACTTTCCTGTGTGCTATCTGTGGGGTTCAGGATTCATCTTGAGTAGTTAGATATCTGCAACCCAGGTATCTTGTCCGAGCTAGTTATCTTGCCTCCATACATATGGACCAGATAGCAGGTGGCGTGTCCAGGCGATAATTCTTTTGACCTATCCTAGCTGTCTAATTTAGGGAGAGAGAGAAGCACTCAAGCCCATGAGCTCCTGTTCCTCTCCATTAACTGCAGGCAGTGCGGACAGCTGCCTGGGAAACATGTGTCAGCACTGCAGATCTCTGGTGTGAGGTGAGGGTACAGCAATCCATGGCGCCTGACTGGGGAGTCAGCGTGCCAGAAGCTGGGAGTGACAGGATGATACTGAATGCTCCATATCTTCCCTTGGATCTAAATCTGCCAGGTGAGGTTAGCAATGCCAAGGTTTTTAAACACGAGCTGAAGGAAATTAACTGATTGGTGTTTGGGGTGGAACTGTTGTTTTACTACAGCCATTTTTAAGCTTTTTTTCTTTGAAATTACCCTTATGTGGCTGGGTCACAGGGCAATTTGGAATACCTGCATGACAGCTTCACTTTTCATGTCCTCTAAAACGGGAAAGCATCCCCTATGTTGCTGCTTTGTTTCAGGTCCACTAAAGTCTTACAAGAAAAAAAATCCTTACCAATAAAAATTGTAACAGTCAGACACTGAGCCACATGTTTAGCATTAGTTCTTATTCACATAAGCAGAATGTAATTGCTTGCATATTTGTAAAATGACCAAGTATGACTAGTTTTTCTCAGGGAAATTGCCTTCTTGCTGCTAGCTTTATATTGGCTGAGCTTTCAGACTTCTCAGTAGTTCTTTTGGAATGACTTCATAGTCTTGCCTCAGCAAACCCAATCAGTAATGTAAAGTTATAGATAAACAAAGTTGTTATTTCAAGCAGGGTACTTTAAGAAAATTTCTTTATGTGACAGTGCTGCTTTATGGCAGTTGCTGTGCCTTACCATATTACACACTAAGAATAATTTATTAATCTCAGATAATATGCTCTGGCTGATAATAAATATTGCAGCAATATGTAGATTTCAGTGGGCTTTTCATTGTAAACAGCATTTCATCCTTTTTGTAGCATGTTTTACAAACTCGATTTGACACGTAGCTCTCTTATAAAGAGCAGATTTGCCTCTATGCCTGACACTACGGATGCTTATTACACAGCAAGAATAGCATCATATATTCAGGGTCAAATCTCAGACACGCTCTAAAAATCTTTATGAAACCAAGGGAAGAGAAGGCATTAGTCAAGCCCTAGAAGACCAGTAAAACTTTTTCTAAGGGCCTCTTTCAGAGGCAACATGCTGTTTCCTCAGCCTTGCAGCCATTCCATTTCTAGATAGCCCTGACACAGTGGGGCTTGGGAGCCATCTCCATAGTACATAGTAAGGAAACCCTGAACAGGGCAGTCATCTCCCTCT